GAGGGGGGAAACACAAAGTGTTTAATTGAATTTTTGATAAGGAATATTGTTATGAGATCCAGGATTTGTGAATAGATGACAACATTTAAAGACTTCGGGGACAACACATACACTTCATTGAAAATGTACACATATACACAATAATAATTGTGTAAAGCTTCTCTCAAAGCACTTTACATGTTTTTGGGGGAATCTCCTCTTTCACCACCAATGTGCAGCATCCACCATACTGCGCCAGACCGCACACCAGCTGATCAGTGGAGTGGAGTCAGAGTGGTAAAACCAATTATGATATGGGGATGGCAAGTGGCAAATTTGGCCAGGATGCCGGGGTTAAACCCGGGTAAATCTGGGATTTTTAACAACCACAGACAGTCAGAACTTCTGTTTAACATCTCATCCGGAAGATGATATACACTATATACATCAGCTATATACTATATATCTGCAGGATATCGATGTCTCTCTCTCTCTCTCTCTCTCTCTCTCTCTCTCTCTATATATATATATATATATATATATATATATATATATATATATATATATATATATTTATATACACACACACACACAAACAAAAACAGTTGAAGTCAGAATTATTAGCCCCTGTTTATTTTTTCCCCCAATTTCTGTTTAACGAAGATCAGATTTTTTTCCCCCCAACAAATACTTTTAAAAACTGATTTCTAATAACTGATTTATTTTATCTTTGCCATGTTGACAGTATGGTGACGCAGTAGCTCAGTAGGTAGTGCTATCGCCTCACAGCAAGAAGGTCGCTGGTTCAAGCCTCGACTGGGTCAGTTGGTGTTTCTGTGTTGTGTTTGCATGTTCTCCCTGTGTTTGCGTGGGTTTCCTCCGGGTGCTCTGGTTTCCCCCACAGTCCCAAGACATGCGGTACAGGTGAATTAGGTAGACTAAATTGTCTGTATGTGTATGAGTGTGAATGGACTTTTCCCAGAGATGGGTTGCAACTGGAAGGGCATCCGCGGCATAAAACATATGCTGGATAAGTTGGTGGTTCATTCCGCTGTGGCGACCCTAGATTAATAAAGGCACTATATTTTTCATAAAGACACTTCTATACAGCTTAAAGTGACATTTAAAGGCTTAACTGGGTCAATTAGGTTAACTAAACAGGTTAGGGTAATTAGGCATGGTATTGAATAACGATGGTTTGTTCTGTAGACTATTGACAAAATTTACCTTAACTTGTTTTTTTTTTTTTTCAAATCAAAAACTGCTTTTATTCTAGCCAAAATGAAGAAAAATATTATCAGACATACTGTGAAAATTTCTTTGGTCTGTTAAACATTATTTGGGAAAAATTTTTAAAAACAAAAACAATTCAAAAGGGGCTAATAATTCTGACTTCAACTGTGTATATATATATATATATATATATATATATATATATATATATATATATATATATATATATATATATAATTTTACTGTTAAAAGCTACTAGTTATTAGTTAAAGTATTAAAAAAAAGATTTAGTATGCATTTAAGTAGTTCAATAAAATGTTAGAGAATTACTATAGTTTTTTCTTCTCTAAATATCAGTTTTTAAATTTTGTGATATTTTAATTTAACGTTTAAAATTAAAATCAGCTTTACAAAGAAAACTTAAATATGTTCAGTTTATTTCCTAATGTCATTTATATAGCGAAAACTCCACTAAAAAGTAGGAAGATGTGATAATGTTACTTTTTAAACCAAGCCAAACAAATAATTGTCTAACCCTTAATCTCGGTAAACCGTTTCGTAGTGATTTGTTCCTCTACTTAAAACACACTGAACACACTTCATTTTACGTGACAATGAGGAACAGACTGTATCCTTTACATAGCCTATTACACAACTGACACTAATAACTAGTTGATTATTACTTAATGATTACAATTTCTGTAGGCTATATGACACAAAAGGCTGTCTGAAAAGTTCGATCTTGTTAAGATCATTAATACGCTCGAAGTCATTTCATTCAAATATAATTATGTAGCATAATAATACTTAACGTTACATGTTGAAATTGACAAACTTGACAAAAATAGCACAATTACCTGTTTTACAGCAATTTAGACTCCAGGAAGTGAAATTATCCTTCGCTTACAAATGTAACCTGTCAATGGACGCAGTGAAATATATTCCAAGAAGCTCTTTAGGTATTTCAAACGAGTTACCAATAAGCAATCGATCAGAATCGGAATAACCGCTAAAATCAACTTAAATCAGATTTGCTCGATTGATGTAGCGAGTTCGCAAATCAGTATGGTAAACATCCGCAGAAGTTCTGCCTTTTTTTCAGTCAGTAGTTCCTCTTTCTGACATGTATTTGCATGCGCACCCAGCACGAGCTTTTTACTTTCACCTTCTGTCAACCTATAGAAGCAAGGCATCAGGGTGTCGACAAATCACTCCTTGCTGAAGAAGAGATTAAACTCTCAGCCCATAACCTTAAAAATAAAATCCGATAAATACATAGGTAAAAACAGATGTGACAGAGATGACTATTACTCCTTTATATAGTACAGTTGAAGTCAGAATTATTAGCCCCCCATTTAAAGTAACCTTTTTTTAATATTTCCCAAATGATGTTTAACAGAGCAATGACATTTTCACAGTATGTCTGATAATATTTTTTCTTCTGGAGAAAGTCTTATTTGTTTTATTTCAGCTGAAATAAAAGCGTTTAAAAAAACTGTTGTTAAAAAACTGTTAGCTTCTTTAAGCTATATTTTATTCCTATACTCTACAGAGCAAACCATTATTAATAATAACTTGCTTAATTACCCTAACCTGCCAAGTTAACCTAATTAACCTAGTTAAGCCTTTTAATGTTACTTTAAGCAGTATAGTATATATATAATCAGAATTATTAGCCCCCCTGTTTATTTTTTCCCTAATTTGTTTTTAAAAGAATTGTTTTCAACGCATTTCTAATCATAACAGTTTTAATAACTCATTTCTAATTACTAATTTATTTTATCTTTGCCATGATGACAGTAAATAATATTTGACTAGATATTTTCAGGACACTTCTATACTGCTTAAAGTGACATTTAAAGGCTTAACTAGGTTAATGTAATATATATATATATATATACTAGGTTTGGAAAAGTCAGGTTTTAAACCTGCTTCGCGTATATGAAAGATTTTTGTTTAAAGTTTTTTTTTTTATTTACTGTTTTAGTCGTTTTAAATTCTAAAGAAATCTGTCATTCCTTTTAAGTTATTTAGGCTGACATGTTCGTTGCATGTATGGTTTCAAAATATTTTATATGTTTCACAAAATTAAACATATGTGTTCAAAGGGGAAAAGTTCTTGTTTTTTACCCAGAGATTTAAAATATTTATATATATTTCAAAACAATATATTTAAAAACAGTGAAATTTTTTATCCAGGGTTATTATATTGTCAGAATCTTATACCAGCCCATGCCAAATATACATACACACACAGGGGCATAGCAACTGGGGGATACGTCCCCCTCACTTTTAGAGACAGACCATATAGAAACCAGTGGTTACTAATTTTATGAACGTAAACTTTTCAATCTCGTTCAGCTGTTTCTACCCCCCACACTTTTAAAATGTCCGCTACGCCCCTGCACACACAGATTATATATACAAACCTATAGATTTACCACATAGATAAATAAAAATGAAAAATAAACAGACATTATTATGTTTGTATAAATAAGCACAAAAAAACTTTGACATTGCGCATTTATAACATCATAAGAAATGTTATTTATTTCATGTCACTGAACTGATCCGAATGTCAATACAATAGCAATACAAAGAATGACAACAAAACAAACAATAATATGAATACATGATCCTCAGCAACTTGAGAACCGAATCACCAGCAAAAATGTCAATGTCCCCTTTGCCTGCTGGGAAACGATATGTTGATCCAGACCTTACTCTTAATGATTTGTCCAAATCCTCTACATCTTCTTGCCTTTATTCAGTTTATTATGCCTCCAAATGTGTTCCTTCCTTATTCGCCTCCAGTATTCCCAACTGTCTGGTTCCAGTTCATTGAGTTGTTTGACTGGGCCGAGGTTTAACTGAAACAACCTGAATACATGGGGGGACCAAAATGAAACTGTTAATTTCAAGAAAGTTATTATTGTAGCTAACATGACATGCAATAAATGCAAAGTAAAAAACACATTCCTACCATTCTGGATACTCATCCTTGGGTTTAATAGTAGGGTCTTCACCTTGTTTAAAGACATTAACCCCAACTGCATATGTGCAAAGCTTTGCTGGATCCTTGCAGACTTCTGGACCTTTCAGAACCTCCTTTACCATTCCTTTCCCCTTCCCTTTGAATACTAATAAAGACACGAATAATATTTAATAAACATGAATAAAGGAAAATTCAATAAAAAATTAAATATAACGTAAATACAATACAATTTAATACAGCAATAAGTTAAATGTTGTAAAAATTGGTCCTCCAAGGTCAGAAGTTGCAGGCTAATGTTGACATGTGTGAATATAGTATTAAATCTGTACAAAAAGGAAACATACCTGGTTTCTTAGCATAACTACGGGTCTGGACGAGAAACGTGTTACAAAAAAGATTATTATAAGCATTCAGAACAGGCAAGTTTATCCTTTTGAAAGGCTGTAATACAGTATGTGCCATTGTAGCTTTACGTATCCTCCACCATGCTGTCTGAACTGCCCATGAAGGAGAGACGCGTTTCCGGAAGAAGCTAAAACACGCATGCGCACTGCATAAATCCAAAATAAGGCCATGCTTGCTCAATTCTCACATGTGACTGTTTTAATAAAGCTTTTCCAAAGTACATAACACGGGCAGCGTATGAATTTATAACAAACGACTGGTTGGAAAAAGCAACTAAGCAGAAATAAATCGTTGTTTAAGAAACGAGTTTACTCCTGTTCTCTAGAGGGCAGTAAATCCGAGGAAAATTGATAAACAATCCTGTTGGGACGCAAGCTAGTCTGATACAGACAGAAGCTGAAATGTCGGAGTACAAGTCTGTCCAGAAAGGCTCTTTAAAACTGAAAGGGGTTTCTTTACCAAGTAAAAAGTGTGTATTTGTTTATGTTAGTTTTTAATATATCAAAACAACTATTACGATATTTATTTTGGAAATATTTTGTCATTGACTGACACGCCATCTGTTAGCTGTTATGCTAGCTCTGTGTTGTTGATCGACTTAACATCGTTGTTAATGTGATCAATTTTCATGTTGTGTTGTTTTTTTTAGGAAAAAGAAGAAGAATAAGGAAATGAAGCGTTTGGAGGAACAAGTTTTGACCTCTGAAAACGAAGAAGGAACTAAAAAAGCTTATGTTGACAAAAGGACACCAGCACAGATGGCATTCGACAAAATACAAGAGAAAAGGGTGAGTATCTATCTATCTATCTATCTATCTATCTATCTATCTATCTATCTATCTATCTATCTATCTATCTATCTATCTATCTATCTATCTATCTATCTATCTATCTATCTATCTATCTATCTATCGACATTGCTCTTTAGCTTTCTGTGAGATTAACACACTATATTCTATCTTAAATATATTTTTCTCGTTAGCAAATGGAAAGAATCTTGAAGAAAGCCTCCAAAACACACAAGAGAAGAGTTGAGGTAAGCATCAGTATTGAGATTCATGTAAGTAACAAGTGGTTATTTGGTTATTAATGTGTAAATAAGTTATTTTTGTTGTGTTACAGGATTTCAACAGACACCTGGACACACTGACAGAGCATTATGACATTCCTAAAGTCAGCTGGACGAAATAAATATTTGTGGATTTTCAGTTTCATGCTTCAATAGCATATGGGCTTGTTTTTGTTTTCTTGTAATTAGTGCTGCAGCAAAGTCCAGAGTGATTTTAAGTTTTCATTTAAAATTTTAAACCCTTTTGGATGCAGTCAACCTCTTTCTTTCTTTTTCTTTTCTTTTCTTTTTTAACACATTCAAGGTTCAAATGTTTGTGAAAATTACATTTTGTAACTTGTGGTTCAATTATGTATTTATGCTGTTGATTGGCTTTTGTTTATTGCAAGGCTTGACTGCCAAAAAAATAGTCCAAACATGTAAAGTGGCTTCAATTGCAATTTATGACAGAAAATGTTGATTCAAGAGTGATGCTTTGTTACATTTGTGCATGTGACTGTATAAGTTTCCTTAATAAAATTCATTTAAGCCAATTATTTTTAATTCAGAATAATTAAGTAAAGTCTTTAAACAATGGTCTAATAATAACGGAGTAGAATCCTTGCCTTGGGTGTCCAAACTTGGTTCTGAAGGGCCGGTGTCCTGCATATTTTAGTTCCAACCCCAATTAAGCACACCTGAACCAGCTTATCAAGCTCTTTCTAGGTATACTAGAAACTTCTAGGCAGAAGTTGAAGCTTAACTGAGCAGGACACCGGCCATCCAGGACCGAGTTTGGACACCCCTGCCTTAAACGCATCTTCAATATGCTTTGATTTGCATATCAGTTGTCAACTTTAATCTTTAAATATAAATTGTGCAAAATGAAATCACATTTGCTAATTAATAATCAGTAACATGGAGTCAGAATCAGCAATGTTTGGTTCTCAGACTAATGTGGGAACATTATTTTCTGGCTATCAGAACATTTTCTTTCAAAGTATCTTTGTTCTGGGGATGTTACATTTTTGGATTTCAAAAAAAGATCTCGCAGAAATCATCCAAATTTTATTTGATTTCTAAAAAATAACCAAAAGGGAACGCTACGTTCTTGATGCATAAACTCTCAATTTGTAAGTTACAAAAAAACATTTAATTTACCACTGTGATCTGATAATGCGTGCTAGCCTTTTTAACTCATTTAGTGACACTATGGAACAGCCATCTTACTGTGTCTCAAAAAGACACTCAAACCATTTGATCTGCAGTTTTAAATAATTATAACACATTTCAGTGAGAAAGCTGAACAAACAGATAACTTCTAAGACAAGGTAGACTCCCCTGTGTGGGTAGTCAAACAAGAGTGGTAGATACCAGTCTCTTTAAACAGGTCACCATAAACGAACAAACTGTAGAGCAGGTCTCAAATTTTAAGAATTTAGGCACAATTATTGACAATAAACTGAATTTTAATTGTAATGTAGAGGCAGTTTATAAGAAAGAAAGTCAGCGCCTCCATCTCCTTCGCAAGTTGAGAAGTTTAATGCAAGTACACAGACTTTAAACATGGCATATAGATCATTGATAGAGAGCGTTCTCACATAAAATATTGTTTCATGGTTTGGTAACACAACACTTAAACAGAAGAAGAAATTAGCACAAATTATTAATCAGGCAAAAAAGATAACTGGTCACAAATAACTTTCACTGCAGATTTTAATTTTGTTGAATTGTTACCATCAGGACGCAGGTTTAGAATTCCTAAAGCACGAAGAAATGCTTATAAAAAGTCATTTATCCCAATGGCAGTTGTTACTTTAAATAGGATCAATTTTTGAAGTGAATGATGTGGTTGCCAAGAATGATCTGCAGTATTTTGTATGGGGCTAATTTGGTTTTTAAACTTTTAACTTCTGTTTTTTGTCTTGATGAATGTTGTTATTATGTGGTTGTTGTATGTTTGTAATTGTTGTCTTAAATCCAGTGTTGGTGACAAATTTCCTTTCTGTGTCAAGCAGAACGGACAATAAAATTTTAACTAAACTAAAATGGAAAGTGCAAGGATGATTTATATATCGAGCACTGAAAATTCACCATGAGGTTACACAGAAGGTACATAGTGTTTAAAAATTAACTATGAGTATTGAAATGAGTTAAACAACTTGCATATTCCACGAGCACCTCATGAATAAGTTTATGCCTCTACAACAGGCATTTAACCCATTTAAAACCGTACTAAATTAGATTTTTTTATAACAAGTAAAAAAAAATATATATATTGTAAAAATGTAATTACTAAATTATAAAATTGTTGTCATAAATTAATAATTTTAAATATTTACAACAACAAAAGTAACTAGGCAATTGTGATAAAAAATATATATATATAATGCAAAAGATCCTGAATTAATCACGTGAAAAAAGATCATGACCATGTTTTGGAGGTTGTAACACCTGCATGTTGCTTTTAGCATAGAATAAATGTATTACAGTTCTTCTCAGTCACTTTAGCACAATTCTCAGATCAAAGTTGAAATTTGCAAAATAGTGAGCCTAAGGGCATTTCTCCAAACAACGCATATAAATAGCAAAACACCACAGACAAACCGCAAAAGCCAGTCTTCTGCTCAAAATGCCCAGTTTAGCTCTCAAAACGAATTTCAGTGTCAATGAACATGTCAGTGGCTTCAGAATGACAAGTCCTGCTGTCATTGTGTGGACAAGACAGTCAAATTACTTTATGTTGTCAATATCAGTGTACTCTGTACGGCTGCTCTGATGTAAACTATTTTTTGGCTGTTTGTACTGTAATTTGTTGACAGATCACGTCATTGTGATAAAGATAGGAAAAGACAGCACTGCACAGCACAAAGAAAAAGAAAAAGTAAATATGTAAACATGGGACAACTTCCTTTCAGACCTTCATTAGAAAAAGTCAAGATTTACCTGGGAGAAAATGACAAATTGTAGACAGATTTAGAACAAAACGTCTAATGGAAATGTATAAACATGACAACTTTTTTCAGCCATTTTGCATGTAAAGAAATGCCATGAACAAACAATTAAATCTTGTGGGGAGTGAGATTATTCAACAAAAGGCCAAAATAATCGTTTTTAATCAGCATGACATCAGCAATTGATAATGTAGGAAACACCAGAGAATTGCATGCATCTCCAAAAGCATTTGCAACTTGTTCATAATGAGAAACTGATGTGCACAAGTGACACAATGATGTGAAGATTGAGTTTTGAGAATTTCAATACTGATCTGAGAAATGGACCAAAGACACTGAGGAAAACCAACAGATTTAATGTTTATTCATTGAATAAAATAAGAACAACACCTGAAAAAAAACCTCTAAAATAGCGGGTTATGTATAAGAGCTGCTCTTTAAAGAAATAAGCAGCTTTCGCCTAATGCAAATAAAACAAATTTTTTTTTGCACTTTGCGGTCAAATTTGATAAGAATTTATTTTGGCAAAAGAAAAAAAATTATATATTTTGGACAGAATTCAGTGTAAAATGTAAGACATTATTTCTAAGGATAGACAGGCCTACACAATTATTTTCAGAGTGAATACACATGAATAACAGCTGATGTTTTTGATCTAACAGCTGAAAAACTACATGCTGAACGCTGTGAGTTTGCATCAGGATGATGATACATGGATCGACTTTTTAAGCAATGTTGCGAGGCTATAATACAGGGTGATATGTGGCTTGGCTACTTTCATAAATTGGGAACAAACATTTTACAAAAAAATAAAATTGTAAATGTAATAGGATGTAAGGCCTACCTATCCTCACTCGCTATCCTTAAACTTAGTTCCTGAATTACGTGGTTGCCACAGCAGAATAAACCACCAATTATTCCAGCATATGTTTTACACAGCAGATACCCTATCAGCTGCAACCCAGTACTGGAAAACACCCATACACACTTATATTCTCACACACACTTATACACTACTGCTAATTTATTTACCTATTATTCATCTGTTCCGCATGTCTTTGGACTGTAGTTGAAATGGGTACTTTTTACTTGTTTACTTTTGTACATTTTTGAGGCGGCACGTCTTTACTTTTACTTAAGTACAATGTGAAGATTGAGTTTTGAGAATTTCAATACTGATCTGAGAAATGGACCAAAGACACTGAGGAAAACTAACAGATTTAATGTTTATTTATTGAATAAAATAACCACAACACCTAAAAAAACCTCTAAAATAGCTGGTTATGTATAAGAGCTGCTCTTTGAAGAAATAAGCAGCTTTCGCCTAATGAAAATAAAAAAAAAATAGTTTGCACTTTGCGATCAAATTTAATACGAATTTGTTTTGGCAAAAGAAAAAAATAATATATTTTGGACAGAATTCAGTGTAAAATGTAAGACATTATTTCTAAAGATACCAGGCCTACACAATTATTTTCAGAGTGAATACACATGAATAACAGCTGATGTTTTTGATCTAACAGCTGAAAAACTACATGCTGAACGCTGTGAGTTTGCATCAGGATGATGATACATGGATCGACTTTTTAAGCAATGTTGCGATGCTATAATACCGGGTGATATGTGGCTTGGCTACTTTCATAAATTGGGAACAAACATTTTACAAAAAAAATAAAATAAAATTGTAAATGTAATAGGATGTGAGGCCTACCTATCCACACTCGCTATCCTTAAAGTTTGTTCCTGAATTACGTGGTCGCCACAGCAGAATAAACCCCCAATTATTCCAGCATATGTTTTACACAGCAGATACCCTATCAGCTGCAACCCAGTACTGGAAAACACCCATACACACTCATATTCTCACACACACTTAAACACTACTGCTAATTTATTTACCTATTATTCACCTGTTCCGCATGTCTTTGGACTTTAGTTGAAATGGGTACTTTTTACTTGTTTACTTTTGTACATTTTTGAGAAGGCACGTCTTTACTTTTACTTAAGTACAAAAGTGTAATCAGTACTTCTACTTTTACCAGAGTCGATTTAAACATGAGTATCTGTACTTCTACTTAAGTAAAGGACGTGTGTATTTTGCAACACAATCTCACGGCAATTCGTAACTTTTTCATTTAGTGGCTAATTCGTATGAATTCGTACGATCTAATTCGTACAATTTAGTACGATTTGCTTATCCCCCAATGACAGTTGGGGTTAGGGGTGGGGTCAGGTGCCACGCCTCCTTTTTAAAATCGTACCATTTCGTACGACTGAACTCGTACAAATTCGTACAAATTAGCCACTAAACTGGCAAAACGTAAAATACTTACGTTTTCTCGTGAGATCAGGCTGGTATTTTGCCATCTCTGCTACTTACTAGGAGCATGTCTATGGAACAGATTTGGATTAGTCAATTAACTTAAGTTGCATGTTTTTGGGCGGTGGGAGGAAACCGGGGAACCCGGGGAAAACCCACGTGAGCACCAGGAGAGCGTGTAAACTTTGCACAGAAATGTCAGCTGGCTTGGTAGGGACAAGACCCAGTGACGTTCTTGCTGTGAGGCAACAAATGGGCTACTGTGCTACCCAAGGAAAGG